TAGATTGCTTGAGCTCAGGCTTACTACCTACATGTAGGAGCAACCAAGACACCTTTCAATAGATGACTGGATAAGTAAAATAACTGCAGTACATCTATACATTGGAATATTATTCAGCAATATTAAGTGAGGTATCTTGCCACAAAAAGAAGTGGAGGAAAATTCAATACATATTTCTAAGGGAAAGAAACCAATCTGAAGATGCTGTCCTGCATGATTCCAGCCATCTGACTTTCCAGAAGAGGCAAAACTGCAGACAGTAGAAAGGTCGGTGGTTGCTAGGGTTACAGAGAAAGGGAGAAATGAATGGGTAGAACATGGATGGGTTTGGGGGCAGTGAAACTGTCCCACATGATGTGTAATGATGGATACATGTCATTTTACATTTTTAAAACCCATAGAATGGACGACACAAAGAGTGAACTTTAAGGTAAACTATGATTTAAAATATTAACAATGTATCTATATTGGCTTATCAATTGAAATAAAAATATCACATTAATACAAAAATCTGTTATTTTATACATAACTTTGTACTTATATAATTTTATAGCTCTGTATTTTCCAATCAAATTTTCTATAAATCTAAAATGTCTCTTAAAGATAAAATTTACCAACCAACCAGATTCAGGATGTCCTGTCAAGTTTTCTACGTGGTGGGCTGGTGTTTTGCAATATAAAGAGAGAAAAACCACAGAGAAATTCTCCAAATCTATCTCTTTCTATATCTCTGTCCCTCTCTCTCACACATGTGTGTGAGAGTGCATGTGTGTGCTGCATGTAAGTAGCCGTTTTCTCACTGGCATTCTTTTCCTCCCAAGTGCTAAGCTTCTGACATCTCCCACACATCCCCTGAGATGACCATTACTCCTAGACAACCCCCACCTCCATCCAGCATTCCCCCATATCCCTCATGACTGTTGTCTGCCAGCTCCTGGTTTCCTATTTATTACTCCCTGCAGAACACACAGGGAACCAGAGGTCATCTCTTCCACTCACCAAATGCTCCTAGACCCTTAGGTCCCTCTGTCCCTGGACTCAGTACATCTTCCACAACCCATCTGCTTCCTCTTCTTGAGGCTCTTCAAGAGCTGTTATTCCCTCCCCAGGCACAGTGAGCAGGCCTACCTTCTGATTCAGGTCCTAGAACACTGCTTCCCACCGCTATTCCAAGGTGGGAAATCTCATAAGGCTGAGCTCATAAGGGTCCCCAGAGTCTCTAGTAGCCTACATCTGCAGTGGTTTGAACTTGAGCCTAAGGAAAAACCTCCCAGCCCTGTGTAATACCTATGGCTGCTTTGTTCTATTTTTAATCATCTTTATTATGAAAAGCAAGATAATGACATAATTATTATATTGATGCTCTTTATTTTTCATCAGATTATAACATTACATTAATATTAACTTTTTGACTTTACTCATAGAAGGCTTCTCATTAATTATTTTAAACTGTTTATTTGGACTGCAATGTGAACAGCATCCTGTAGTTTAGATTACTTGAAAATAACTGTTTTGATATTTGTATTTGAAGCTACAGGGATTAAAAAAACTTCTATTTCATTATTATTTGATCTGGGCTAATATTAATTGAATCTCTGAAACTAAAAATATTTCCTATTTCTATTGCCAAATATACTGAACTACTGTCCACCTGAATAACCTTTTTATTATTAAACTTTTTATTTTGAGATAATAGTATGTTTATACCTGCCTTTTATAACACTTTTAATTATTTTTTCAGTAATTATAGACTCACAGGAAGTTGTAAAAATAGTAGACTTTTACATAGCTTTCTTCAATGGAAACATTTTGTATAACAATAATCACTATCAAAACCAGGAAACTGACATTGGCATATGCTACTATATATAGTGTGCATATATTAATAAAATACACTGTATGTACTATGTCCTAATTCACACTGCAGCAGTTTTTACAAGTGTTTGTACATGCATGTGTAATCAAAGAAAATTTTACTACAAGTGTAAATTTATATAACACCAACACGATTAAGATACTGTTCATTTTCATAAAAGATCTTAACACTGGGTGGCGTCCGTAGCTCAGTGGGTAGGGCGTCCACCACATACACCAAGGCTGGAGGTTTCAAACTCGGCCCAGGCCAGCCAAAACAACAATGACAACTGCAACAACAACAATAAAAAATAGCTGGGCATTGGGGCAGGTACCTGTAGTTCTAGCTACTTGGGAGGCCAAGGGAAGAGAATTGCTTAAGCCCAAGAGTTTAAGGTTGCTGTGAGCTGTGATGCCATGGTACTCCATCCAGGGCAACAGTTTGAGACTCTGTCTCAAAAAAAAAAAAGTCCTGACGCTGCCCCTTTACAGGCACACCTACATCCTCTTTCCTAAGCCCTGGGAACCACTTCTGTGTTCTCTGTTTTTATAAGACATTTGGAGACTGTTATATAAATGGAATCACATCATGTGTCACCTTTTGAGCTGTTTTTTCCCCAACTCAATATAATTCTCTTAAGATCTACCCAAACCATTGTGTTACCACAGTCTGTTGCCAAGTCATGTCCCATTTATTGCTGCTTTTTAGATACACTCTTATAGCATTGGGGGCAAGAGAGCGGTGTACAATCCTGGGGATTTGCATTCCCAGCTGTCCTCCAACCCCTTGGGACTGAAGTCTGAAGGGTATGCACTGTGACAGTTGATGGGGTCATCACCTCCTTCCACACAGGGCCCTCCTGAGAAGCTGGCTTAAGGAATTCATCCCTCTCCCGACAGTGTCCACACTCAGGTACCTGAATGATCACAAGCTTGAAGGAAAGATATTAAGCAAATAGTAGTGTATCAGGCACTGGAAGGTGATATATACTGATATACTACAAGGCCCCTCTATTGTTATTAATTAATTTTCTTTTCTTCTTTTGTTTGTTTCGAGTTAGTTGAGCATACAAAGAATTAGATTACAATGTTAGCATCAGTTAGGTAAAGTCCCTTTTATAATTGTGTCCCGACCCTAAGAAGTGTGCCATACACCCTAACATTGTGACCATTAATTGGAGCACTCCCATGCACCCCCTCCTCCTCTCTCCCTGTTCTCTTGTTCCCCCACCTCACCTTGGATTGATTTGAGTTTTTCTCTTATGTGGGTGTGTATTAGGTCATCTACTAGCTTCAAATTAGAATTGAGTACATTGGATTCTTGCTTCTCTATTTTTGTGATACTTACTAAGAAGAATGTGTTTCCACTCCACCCAGGTTAATAGAAAAGCCTCTATCTTTTTAATGGGTGAGTAGTATTCCATGGTATATATATTTTTAAAAACAGCTTTATTGATGCATAACGATATAAACTGCACATATTTTATGTGTCTAATTTGATGAATTTTCATACGTTTGTATACCAATGAACCATCACCACAATGAAGATAGTTGGCATAACCATCATTCCAACGAGATCCTCTCACTATTTGTAATCCCTCCCACCCTACTCTCTCCTCCAAACACTGATAAGCTTTCCATTACTATAGAATAGTCTGCATTTTATAGACCTTTTTATAGACGGAATCACACAGTATGTATTCATTCTGCCAGGCTTTTTTCACTTTAAATAATATTTTGGGGTTCATCCATGCTGTTATTGTGCTCCATAGTTCATTCCTTTTTCCCACTGAGTAGTATTCTGTGGCATAAATACATGTATACCACAATTTGTTTCTTTGTTTATCTGGGTTGTTACAAATTTTTGGCTATTACAAATAAAGCTGTCAACATTCAGGTCAAGTCTTTGTAGACACAGAGAACTTGGACTCCTTCCTTTCCTTCTCCCTTGAGAAAATTTGTAGAGTGGAATAGAGGATAATCTGGTAGGCCTCTGTTTAATTTCTAAAGTCACTAACAAACCATTTTCCAAAATGGGTGCATTAGTTTACACTTCCATTAGGAGTATAGTCCCTATACATCCTTGCTAGCACTTGGTGAGTCTTTTCAATATTTGCCATTCTAATAAGTGGTAGCAACTCATTGCCTAATTTTCATTTCCTTAATGTCTAATAATGTTGAAAATATTTTATATACTTATTGGACAACTATATATCTTCATGATATATAGTTTTATCAATAATGGATTTTGAATTTGTAAAAAATAATTTTTTACATCTATTGAGATTATCACACCATTTTCTTTTATAATTTGTCAATATAATGAATTATGCTGGTTGATGTTTTAATATTAAACCAACCCTGCATTCCTGAAATAAACCACAGTTGGTGGTGATATATTATCTTTAAATCTATTGTTAGATCCAATATGCTAATATTTTATTTAGAATTTTACAACTATGTTGTTGGTGAGAGTTGTGGATCTAAAGTTTTCTATTCTTGTAATGTCTGTGTTTTGTTTTGGTATCAAGGTAATGTTGACTTTATAGAAGGAATTGGGAAGTGCTACTTCCTCTTCATTTCTTTGGGCTGGCACAGAAGAGGTGTCCGATAACTATTCCATGGGTGATTTGGAATAGGAAAAAAGTAATTAATTAATGTGGAATAATAAACAGGGATCATGTTGGGATATGTGTAACATAAAGAACACATCATCAGCCAACACTGTGCCATCAACAAGATGCAGGCATGATGCACATTCATTGTCTCTTTAATCTTCACTATCACCTCTGAAGAAGGAAACACTGCCCTTGACAGGTGATGGCCTGAGAGGGCATGACTGGTCCAAGGTCTCTTAAATGGGTGGGGTTATTATAAACTAAATCCAATGTCCACATTCTTCCCTTTTCCACTTCAGGGTGGCTATGACCCCTGACTCCCACATGGATAGACTCTCCTTGCCTAGAAGCCATCACTGTTGGTTACTGCAGGACTCTGGGGCTGAGAGAGAAAACTTAATAACCTAAAGCAGAAGTGTGATTCCCACTGGCAACACTACTGGAGAGGAAGGATAGCACTGCCTGCAGGAGGCACACTCAGTTGTCTGTGCCTACAAGCGTGGCCCTTTGAGAAGAAGCTTCTATTTTTCATCTCAGGGACACTGGACAGATATATATGGGATTTACAGTTTCCCCCTCATAAATCTCGAAGAAGGGCCGCAGCACACCTTCAAACTGATGCTCCATCTTATAAATGAGGGACTGGTCATTTATATTAAAGAAGGAGATGGCCCCATCTTCATAGTCCAGGAAGATGCCAACTCGTGTAGGGGGAGTTCTTAGGAAGAGGCTGAATTTTGAGGGATTAAATGTGAAATACTGTTGGTGTCCCCACTGTCCAAAGACCCAGTACCCATTTGTGGGACACAAACTTATACACACTTTCCTTTCCACATCGTCCCGGCACACTCCCAAGTACCATCTTTTATGGAATCCCACATCTACTTCCCAGTAATGTTTCCCTTGCCGGAAACCCTGAGAAGCCACAACACACTTCCTCTTAAATCTCTTTTCCGAGTCGGGCACTTCCTGGGGATGACTCCTGCAGGATATGGCTTTCATATCAGAAATGTAGAGCTGAGGGTGAGCCGTGTCCATGTCCAGAGTCACCTCCACTGGGGTGCGGGGGGGGGGAAGGGAGCATGAGTTAGTGAAGAGGGAACTGGGCTGGAACAAGAGGCCAACTCTTGTACTGCAGACCACTCAGGGTGGGTTCAGGTGAGGTCCTAGAGCCACAGTCACTGTCCATCACTGTCTATCCAGCCCTGCCCTCATCACTGGCTGTCCACCAGTATAGCCCCAGGGCCTGACCAATGCTTGGAAATGAGATCATAACTCTAGTATATCAGCCAATTCTAAAACTGTCCCCAACTGCTACTTGATACTTCACTTCTGTCATCTTCAGCCCTGGGCTGGCTTTGCCTGTAACCTCCACCCGGGAAAAGCTTCCCTATGCCCTTCTAGACTGGGTGAAGCTATGGCTTGGGGTGGGTGGGGACAGGCTACATGGGTCCCTGGTCTACTCCCCCTTTTACACCCACATAGGGCTCTGTCCTACTTTCACCCCCTTAGGTGTTGGTACCTGCATGTTTCCGGGCCTCTCTCCATTCTGCAAATAAACAGAGCATGTAGTTCAGTGCTCACATGGAGAGCAGGAGTCAGAGAGAAGGGAGAGACTGAGGGTGGCTATCCTCTTAGGGGCATCATGGACACAAACAGATCTGATAAAAGTTATTGAATGTCTCTGCAAAATGCACCTGCCATTATCGGCAGACAATTTCAGGATCTCTATTACAAGCCTGCATCTGCAGAGATTCAGGGTCCTCAGGTTACAAGACCCATAAACCAGGGTCTTAGAAGAAAAAGATAAGTGGGGATTGGAGGAGGAATGCGGTCTCTCACCTGCCTGTCTGTCCATGCCTTCATAGTCTGAAATTAAAACACAGATAAGGCTCAAATCACATAACAAGAACTTAGGGGAGGAAGTGGGCGAAAAGTTTTACATGTGATAATGCTCTTACCCAGGCTTTCTCTGAGTTCTCCTAAAACAGAAAAGCAGACTATTCAGTGGTGATACAGGCTTGGATAAAGTTTCAAAGAATCAGGCTGGGGGAAGTTGAGGGACACACCCCATTGGTTTTTCACCATTCTGAGTCCACACACCCTCAAAGAGCCCATGAAATCTGCAGTTCCTCTCCCCACAAAATTATCAACAGGTAAAATTTGTAGATAATTTTAGAGGGTTTCACGCCCCCTAATCCCATGCTAACCCCCACATATATCTGCAGATCAATCCATCAGTCCATGGATGGGCAGAGCAAGCCAAATGCTCTCCTAACCCTTCCTGACCAGTCTGGTGCCAAGACGGAGTGCAGAGGGCCAGACAGGGAGGTACCCAGGAGAACCACATGTGGAAGGCTCATAACATGACAAGACACTTACGCACTTTTGTCTGGATTTTCCCTGAAACAAAAACAGAGTATTCAGTGGTCAACACAGGAATATGTAAAGTACAAACACAACCCTGACTCCTTGCTCAGGTGGGATGATGTGTGGGTCTGAAGGACAAGGGTTCTCCTGCTTTTTTGGTGCCCCACCACCAGCCCCAACCCCTGAACCAAGCATCTCTATCTGGGGTAAAATCAGAGATGAGGACTGTTCACAGAGAAGAGACAACTAATATGTAGGAGCCTGTGGAGGTGAAAATGGAGGTTACCAGGGAGAAGGAGGCTGGGAGAGGAGGTGGGATTATGACACACATTTTCAAAGGGTTGTGCTACCCCCATTGAAAAGACAGTTGATTCCTGGGGGTAAAAACTCTAATTGAGGCTGAATATTATTTCATCTTGCTGTTTTCACTTTATTTCCTCTCTTCAACTATGTCAAAACATTGTCCTGGACTTGAGGTGCCAATCTTAGAAATTTCCATCAGCTCTGGAGTACTGAAAATAATTCTTCCCCTAATTCTGTGCCCTCCTTGAAGTAGAAGAGCATAATAGGAACTGCCTTTCCTGAGCAAGCCATGAGGACAGTGGACCCAGGGGATGGGTCCTTGGAGCCCAATTCAGGTGGTGCCTGGGAGCATGCCTGACCCAGCACTGCTGCAAACATCCATCAGCCATAGGTCCATGCTTCTCTCTCTCACTTACCCTGAGATTTGGAGAAAGAAATCCTCAGCCCAATGAAAGCAGCACATAGGCCAAAGACGAGGAATATGAGTAAAATAGAAGGCAGGCGCCAAGATGAGGGCTGGAAAAATGTATCTGAAAAACAGTCCCACAGACCCCTTAGTGATTGCTGAACAGTAGAGACAATTTGATTTTCATTTAAAGCGGTGGTTCTCCACCTTCCTAATGCCTTGACCCTTTCATACAGTTCCTCATGTTGTGGTGAACCCCAACCACAAAATTATTTTCATTGCTACTTCATAACTATAATTTTGCTACTGTTATGAATCGTAATGTAAATATCTGATATGCAGGATGTATTTAGGCGACCCCTGTGAAAGGGTTGTTCAACCCCCAAAGGAGTCGTGACCCACAGGTTGAGAACTGCTGATTTAAAGAAACCCCTTATACGCCAAGATGAAAAGTTTCTATAACTTTTTCTTTAAGTTTAAAACTTTGCATTTCCAAATAAGTCTTAATCCATCTGGACTTTGTCTTTTATATATAAAATGTAGAGTTTTGACTTCATTCTCTGCTAACATGGATAACAACATGCTAGCCTTGTTTATTGAATGGCCTTCACACACACAGTGTTACCTCTGTCTACATCTTGTTTATGTTTTGCCTTGGATTTGTTTCCTACCTCTCTGTTCTGTCCATTGGTCCATCTGTCTACCTCTGTGCCAATAATTTTGACTGGCTTAATCACCACAGCTCAGGGACATGGATTAATGTATAGTAAAGTAAGATTCACAGTGTGTTCTTATTTAACTGCATCTTGGCAATGATTGGCCACCTGCTCTGCCATATACGTTTTGCAATGGACTTGTCAAGTTCTAAAAAATCTCCTCTGAGACTTGTTTGGAATTTTAATCTATAGACTACTTCCAGAAGAAACTTTAACTTTAAAATATGTATCTTTTTATCCAATGATGCCATGTCTCTCTTCTTATATCAGTTTTATTTAGCACCTGCAGTAAAGTTTATAATGTTCTTCAATAGCATTTGAAAAACGTTATTGGACTTCTTTCTAATTGATGTGTTCGTGTTATTGCACATGGCATGTTTATTTTCCTCTCTTTGATATTTATAAATGAAGTTATTTTGTTTATTAATCTCAAAGCCCATGATCATTATAACCTATGTTATGAATTAAAAGAATTTACCTGAATATTTTTCTAAATTTTTGGTATATTTCATATATCCTGTGAACAATGGGAATTCTATTTCTTCCTCTCTAAAAATGAAAGATGTTTTTTCTTTATTCTTTTATTATAATAGCTAACACTTCAGGATAATGTTGAACAGACATGCTTAATACAGTGAACTAAAGTTCCTATATTAAATGATTTATCATTATGTGTGATATTTGCTGTAGGTACTTTTAGATACCGTTTTATCAGATCAAGAAGATTCTCTCCTGTTCCAAAAAACTTAAAAAGCTTTCTTCTATGTTTGGATTCGTAAGTTTTAAAATCATAAATGGATTTTAAAATTGCTCCGTATTTAACTTACAACTGTTTAGAAAATTATAGCTTTTCTCCTTTTAATCGTCAAGTTAATAATTACATTAATATATAACTCAGTATTTACCTAATTTTTTATTTCAAGATAAATTCAATTTGGTCATGATATATTAAGGTTTTTACACATCTTTGGTTTGGATTTATAAAATTTCTGATAAGCATTTATATTTTAATTTCTGAGTAAGCTATAGCAATATTTTTTATTTTTCAGATTTTCCTTGATCATTTTGCATTTTTACATTTTTTAAATTAACACATAATTGTGCATATTTGTGGGGTACACTTTGATGTATCAATACATATATATGGTGTATAATGAGAAAAATTATATTAATCTAATATCATGGGGTTAATATTTTCTATTCTGCTTTCTGGAAAAGTTGGTTTAAGACTAAAATTTTCTATTTTCTTCAATGTTTGTTAGATTTTCTGTATAAAACAATATGGCCCTGGTGTCTGGGAAGTCTTAAATACCAATTCCACTTATTTTGTGTTTATAGAACTCCTCAGGCAGTACATTTTTTCTTGAGTTAGATTTTATATTATTTTTCTATGAACTTTTTATAATCTGTCATACTCAAATTGAATAACTGTGTATTTTAGATTTCTGCTGCATCTTCAGTTCTGCTTTCTTGTTATTTCCTATACCATCTAATTGTGCCATCTCTTTTACTAATTAAGAACATTTAATTAATATGCAATTATACATAAAGGGTATAATATGATGTTTCAATACATAGATATGCTGCAATAATAATCAGTTCAGGGTATTTAGCACATCCATCACTTCATGCATTTATTACTTCTTTGTGCTAAGCGTATTCAAAAACCTTTTGTCTAGCTGTCTTGTTATAGACAAGGTCTTACTGTTACCCCTGCTGCTCAACAGAACATCAGAACTTACTCCCGCCATCTAACTGTAACTCTGTGTCCACTGCCCAGGCTTTCTCCCTCCTTTCCATCTCTCTTTTCTTGATTGATGGATGCTGCCAGAAGCTTTATCTATATTAGTAGTATTTTGAAATATCAAACTTTAGCTTTGTTATTCTGTACTACTTGTTCTTTTTATTTAACTCTTTCTCATGATTGCTATCCTTTTGTCCCATTTCAGTTTATTCTGAAATAAATCTCAATACCTGCCATAAATTACAGGCTTTAATTTATATTGTGAACAATTAAGGATATAATTTTGACTTAGAAAACTGTGTTAGCTCCATTTCACACATGGTGATATCTGTGATTTCATTATCATTTAGTTCTAAAAATTTTATAATTATCATTATGATTTTAATGACACTTTACGTTATTTGTATTTTTCAAGCAGATAAATTTTAAATTTTCTTTTATTATTGTGATTTAACTTAATTACATGGTAATTAGGGAGCATTGTCTGAATGACATTAATTCCTTGAAATTTCCTGAAAACCATTGTATGTTCTTGTACCTGGCAAAAGTTCATAATGTTCAAGGTATACTTCAAAATAATTTGGGGAGGGTTGCAGTCTTCTACAAATGTGTTCTAGATTAGCCCTTTTAATTTGTAATTTAAATACTTTACATTCCAGGTTTTTTTTTTTTTTTAGAACATCTTGAATTTTTAATCCTTTCTTTACAGGTTACCTAGACCAGTTTTGATTAAGAAAACTGTAGAAAGTTAGTAACTGCCACAGGCAAACGCCAGGCGGTGGCACGTGTCAATTTTCCAGAGTCCGCTTTGCGGGGTGTCTGAATGCTTCGATCGGGGTCTCTGCTCACACTTGCTGGAATCAATTCTGGCAGATTTTAGTCCACAGGTCGCTTTTCCCCGTATTTCTTTGTAAACTCTTCAGCATTCGTACAGAATTTTTTATGGTCCTTACAGTACTCTTCAGCTAGGTCAGCCCGTAGAGGGTGCTCAGGCTGGGGCTCGTTCACCAGGGCTATAAGGGACTGGATGACTTGGTCGGTTTTGGTTGCTGGCTTCCAGTTTTCAGCACTAATTACCGGCAGACAGACCTGCCCCTTTTCATCGATGTTCGGGTGATAGATCTTTGTTTTAAACGTGATCCTCGGTGGCTTGAATGGGTACTCTGCTGGAAAGTTGATTTCGATTCTGAAGGCCCCCTGATCATATGGAGGGTTGTCAGGAACAATAAGCCCTTGCCACGTCAACAAATTAGCTTCATCTACCTGGATGTCCCGGAAGTTTGTCATCCCACAATTGCGGATTTCTTCAAGCTCCTTCATCAGCCGCCTGCTGGCCGCCATCTTGGATCTCATACTCTACATTCTAATTAATTTTGCATAATAATCAGTCTTGGAATGCATAGCATGTAATTTTTCCTTTTATTTCAGTATTTGTTTTGTGTATTTTAAAACTATGTCATAAAGTGTGTATCTTTAAATTTTTATTACTTTCCTGGTGAGTTAACTTTTTTATATTTGTATTTGTGAAATAACTTTATTGCCAGCAATGCTTTTTTGTCTTAAAACCTTTTGTTCTCTTTGTAGACACTAATACTTGTTATGGTCCAACTACGTTAATATCTGTCTGCTGTGTCTTTTTGCACTTCACTTTCTCTTAGGAAGTGGACCATTTCAGATTTATAAATCTAATCTTTCTTTGTCTTTTAGCTGGCAAATTAAGTCCTTTTACATTGATTTAGTATTTATTGGAACATTTTAATTAACATTAATTACCCTATTATTGTTTTAAAGTTTCTAAAATAATCTTTTTTCTTTGTATTCTGCTTCAGTGATATTTTCTATAAACAATATAACTTAATAATAATATTTAAAATAGTAAATAATTATTTTTCATGTGATTCTAAGGTTAGTTCTTTTAAAGTTTTGTGTGTGTTGAGCTTGGGGAAGGTACACCATGGACATGATCTTGTGTTCAGAAAATACTTATCTCTGTTTCTTTAGAATTATAAGTGGTTGTTTCCGTCTAACCAAAAGATGTATTTTTTTATACCATCTCTACTTTTGATTGTCAAAGGAAATCATTAAAACCAGGCAATAGTAAACAAAAATTCTAAGATAGAGGGTCTTATTCTTTCTCTGGATCACCCAAGTATTTATTTCTCCCTTGCTCCTTTTCCTTCCACCCCTTCTCACCTTTTATCCAGACTCTGGATTCCACCTCTAGGCTCTGGTCAGGATATTGGATGCAACATGATATACTCCCAGAATCCTCTTGGATGATCAGGGAGGTCTCCACATCAAACAGGCCATGCCCATCTACATTCACCTTGGAGTCTGAGGGCAAAGCAGTACTTCCCTTCCACTTCACTGTGGGCTGGGGGAACCACCCTGAGGACTGGCAGTGTAGCCGGATGCCTCCATCAACAAAGCCCTTGATGGAAATGAGAGGAGTTGAGCCCATCTCTGGGGAGAAAACAGAGAAGGGATGAAAACAAAGATCATAGCCCAAAGTCATAGATGTCTTAACTAGGTTCATCATGCCCATAGCCATAATAGTCCTCCCTTTAATCTCTCTCTTTCTCTCTCTTACACACACACACACACACACACACATCCTGACAACATTTCTCTGTGTAATTCTATGGTCTTTTTTCATTCAACATGCATTTAACAGCTACTATACACGTGACTATTTCTTGAAAATGATGACATGAATAAGACAGAGCCCTTTTTAATAAGAACTTACTAACTAAACAGGAAGACTGTAAACTAATATATTTCACTGTTAAAAGTGCAACCATACAAGCATAGTTAAGTTACCACAGAGAAGAGAGTGCTTAAGTCTCAGGGGAATGTGTGGCTTCCTAGAGGCAATTTGCTCCCTGCTGTGTCAGATAAATAGGAGCTGTTTAGGAAGATAAGCAACAAGAAGACGTATGCCAGGCAGAGGGGCAAGTATATATCATGGCAGGGAAAGTGACCTCCTCAATATGGTCCATCTCCCTCCCTGTGCTGTTCTCTGCCATTGCACAGGATCTAGACCTGTGCGCAGAGTGAATACATGAATGAAGGTATGACACTAAGAAAGGGGGTCCAGGCAAGATGCTATAGATTTGTGTCTCCCTGTTCCTCCCACTAAATAAAATTATAAACCCAGTAAATAACTCAAGAGTACTCTGAAAGGTGGAAAGAGGAAGGTAGAATGACTACGGGCCCAACTAGAGAAACAACAAAGCAATTGAGCACTTTATGATCCACATCTCCACCACAATTCAGTAATAGGGGGTGGGCTTTGCCCTCACTCAAGTCCTTGACAACACCTGATAGACGCAGTGGTACTTGCAAAAGGATTGAGGAGGAGCTCCACCAACAAGAGGCCAGGGGAAGTGTTTCCCATCCTTGTGCACCAGAGACTACCCTCCCTCACCTAGGGGCACTGGGGTGTCTGAACGGAGGAAAAATCCTCTAAATACATAGGTAGCAGACGGGATTGGTGGTGTACAAGCACCACCAAGTAAAGCAAATGGCCCTTTGACCATGACAAAAGGTCTTACAACTAACCACTTTGGAACCACAACTGGCAAAAGCAGACCAAGACCCAAGGAAGCACCTTCTAACCCACAGGTTGGCTGATAAAATAGAATCTTTAAATAGATTCCACAATCTCCCAACATAATAAATAGCCAGAATGTCAATTTAAAAAAAACTCCCAGGCCAGAGGCAGTGGCTCACACCTACAATTCTAGTACTCTTGGAGGCCGAGGCAGGTGGATTGCCTGAGCTCACAGGTTCCAGCCCAGCCTGAGCAAGAAGGAGACCCCTATTTCTAAAAAAAAAAAAAAAATTGCCAGCATTGTGGTGAGCGTCTGTAGTCCCAGCTACTCGGGAGGCTGAGGCAAGAGAATAGCTTAAACCCAAGAGTTTGAGATTGCTGTGAGCTGTAGTGTGCCACAGTATTCTACCATGGGTGACAAAGTGAGACTCTATCTAAAAAAAAAAATCACCTATCATACAAAGAACCAAGAAAACATTGACTTGAATGAGAAGAGATAATCTACTGACAGCAACAACAATATGAATCAAATGTCAGCAAGATCTGACAAACACTTTTAAACAGCTATTTAAGCTAAGTTTTTAAACTTCGCTTGTAAAATTAGTTTGATTTCCCTTGGAACAAATGACAAAATATAAAACACCACCACAAATAGAAATTATAAAAAATATATAAATGTAAATTATATCACTGAAAAATACAAGGATGCAAATTTTAAAAATCAAAGCAAATAAAACACCCTGGACATCTGAATACTAGAGCGACTCTGATAGAGGACATAAAAAGTAAACTTGAGGATGGAAAATACAATTCACAAAATAAAAACAGAGAGAAAGTAAACTTTGAAATAAAGAAATAGACCCTCAGAGAACTCTGGGACAATTATCAAAAGAGCCAATATTTATATCACTAGAGACCCAGAAGGAAAGGGAAAAGTGAATAGAGTTGAAAGAATAGTTGAAGAAATGATGGCTTTTAAATCCCCAAATTTGATAAAATCATAGAATTATAAATTCAACTCAGCAATTACTAAATAGGACAAAGTAAAAAAAATCACATTTAGATATGATTTTGTCATAATCAAACTTATGTAACTAAAGAAAGAGAAAACATCTTGAAAGCAATCAGAGAAATGATTCATTACGTCAAAGGAACATTAATCAAGTGACAGCAGGTATATCAGAAACCTTCAAGGCCAGAAAGAAGGGGCACAGTATTTTTTAAGTGCTGAAAGAAAAGAACTAGCAAATTCTGTATCAACAAATTCTGTATCTGACAAAATTTCCCTTTAAGAATGAAGGGCAAGGCTCGGCACCTGTGGCTCAAGCAGCTAAGGCGCCAGCCACATGCACCTAAGGTGGAAGGTTCGAATCCCCAGCCCAGCTCCGCCAAACAACAATGATGGCTGCAACTAAAAAATGGCCGGGCGTTGTGGCGGGCACCTGTGGTCCCAGCTACTTGGGAAGCAGAGTCAGGAGACTCGCTTGAGCCCAGGAGTTGGAGGTTGCTGTGAGCGTGATGCCATGGTACTCTACCCAGGGGGATAGCTTGAGGCTCTGTCTCAAAAAAAAAAAAAAAAAAACAAAGAATGAAGAGCAAAAGAAAGTGTGAGTAAATATAAATTGGTTTCACAAAAGTACTGAGTGCATTGGATATTTTTTCTTCCATTCTTGAGATACTTTACTTAGGAGAATATGTTCCAGCTCTATCCATGTAAACATAAAAGAGGTAAAGTCTCCATCTTTTTTAAGGCTGCATAGTTTTCCATGGTATACATGTACCAAAATTTATTAATCCATTCATGAGTTGATGGGCATCACAACTATAGCCCAGGAATAAGGAGAGAAATGGAGTGGGAAGGGAGGGGAGGGAGAGGTTTGATAGAGGGAGGGTAAATGGTGGGACCACACCTATGGAGCATATTGCAAGGGTACAAGTCAAATCTATCAAGCATAGAACATAAATGTCTTAACATAATAATCAAGTAAATGAGGCAAAAGCTATATTAATTAGTTTGATTTAAGCACTCCAAATTGTATAAAAAAACAATACATTGTACCCCATATATGCATAAATGTATTCATGACCTATGTGTGTATATGACTTAATAAAAGGAAAAAAAGAATGAAGGGCAAATCAAGGTATTTTGAAATGAAGTAAAACTAAGAGTTTCCTGCTAGAAAATTTTTAATGTTTTAAAAGAATGCAAAATAGTTTAGTCATTGTGGAAAATAGCAATGTTTGAAAAAGTAAACATTGATAAAATGAAAAGACAAAAATACTGGGAGAAAATATTTGAAAACACATATATGATAAGTTACTGGCATCCACAATACTTAATAAGCTCTTTCTCAGGGCTATCTATGGAGGGGGTAGCCATCTCCTATTTGGCATTAAGAAGGCCCCTCGTCAAGCCAAAGATCAAAAAGAGGACCAAGAAATTTATGTGGCACTAGTCAGACCGATTGTCAGAATTAAGCATAACTGGTGGAAACCCAGAGGTATTGACAACAGGGTTCAGAGAAGATTCAAGGGATAGATCTTGCCCAACATTGGTTACGGGAGCAACAAGAAAACAAAACATATGCTGCCCAGTGGTTTCTGGAAGTTCCTTGTCCACAACGACAAGGGGCTAGAAGTGCTGCTGATGTGTAACAAATCTTACTGGGCTGAGATTGCTTACAAGGTTTCCTCCAAGAACTGCAAAGCCACTGTCGAAAGAGCAGCCCAGCTGGCTGTCAGAGTCAGGAATGCCAATGCCAGGCTGTGCAGTGAAGAAAATGAATAGACAGCTCATAGGCACAATTTATTTGTGTTTAAATAAAACCATAGAAACTGCAAAAAAAGAAAACAACCCAATTAAGAATAGGCAGAAGATCCAAACACATACCTCCCTGAAGAAGATATACAGATAGCAATGTACAGAAGTTGAGCATGTGATAAGATGTCTGCATCATGTCATTAGGGAAGTACAAATTAAAATAATGACAGACTACTATGCACTTACTAGAATGGCTAAAATAAATAGATGTTGGCTGACAACACCAAATGCTGGCAACAGTGTGGAGCAGAGGAATGCTCGCTCGTTGCTTGTGGGAATGCAACCTGGTTTGGCAACTTTGGAATGCAGCTTCTTTAAAACTAAACATATTCTTACTGCACAATTCAGCAATCATGCTAATTGATATTTACCCAAATGAGTTGAAAACTTCGTCCACACAAAAACCTGCAGGTAATTTTTTTTTTTTTTGAGACAGAGTCTCACTGTCACGCTGGGTAGAGTGGCGTGCTATCATAGCTCACAGCAGCCTCCAACCCTTGGGCTCAAGCAATCCTCTTTTCTCACTTTTTCTGTTTTTAGTAGAGACCGTGTCTCACTTTTTGCTCAGACTAGTCTCAAACTGGTGAGCTCAAGCAATCCACCCGCCTTGGCCTGCCAGAGTGCTAGGATTACAGGTGTGAGTCACCATGCCTGGCCTGTGTATAAGTTTTTATAGCAACTTTATCCATAATTGCCCAAACTCAGAAGCAACAAAGATGTCCTTCAGTAGGCAAATTGACAAAATATGATACATGTAGACAGAGGAATAATGCAGGGATAAAACAAAATGAACTATCAAATCACTAAAAGACATGCAGAAACCTTAAATACAAATGCTGAGTGAAAGTAGCCAGTCCAAGAAGGCTATATACTGTATGATCCCAACTATTAACACATTCGTGGAAAGGCAACATAATAGAATAAAAAGAACTGTATACCCCATGATTGCATTAATGTACACAGCTATGATTTAATAAAAATAAATAAATAAATAAAAGAAATGTATTTCTAGAGATCTGAAGATAGGGAGGTATAGTGCAGGAGATTTTGAGGATAGAGAAATATGATGACAATAGCAGACATATACCACTGTACATTTGTGAAAACACATATAATGTACAGCACAAAAATGAATACTAACGTATGGACTTCAGTTGATAATAAGTGTTCAGCACGGTTCATCAGTTGTAATAATGCACCATACCAACACAAGATGTTAATAATAGGGGAGATTGGACAGGGGACTGAGTAGGAGAGTACAGGGAATTCTCTGTACCTTTGCTCGATTTTCCTGTAAAATCAAAACTTCCCCCCAAAATAGTCTATTAATTGTTTTAAATTAAACATACATAACATACAATGTACAATTTACATGTATACATCTAAATACCCCTTAGTATGCAGAAAGCATACTAAGGGGTATTTAACCCAAAGAAATGAAAATGTCTGTCTATGTAAAAACCTGCACACAAATGCGTATGGCATCCTTATATGTAACAGACCCGAATTGAAAACCACCCAAATGTTCATCAAAGGGTGAAGGGTTAAGCAAGTTGTGGTACATCCATACCACAGAATGCTATTCGGAAATAAAAAGGCATAAACTACTGATGTAAGCAACAAGGTGGATGGATCTCAAGGGCATTCTATGGAGTAAAAATGTCATTCTCAAAGGTCACATGCTGCATGCTTCCATTTATATGACACTGGAAACATTGAAATTATAGAGATGAAGAGTAGAGCAGTAGTTGCTAGGGGCTGGAGAGTGTGGAGGTGAAGGGGAGGATGCGTGTAATGATGAAGAAGTGGCAGAGAGAGGATTTAGGGGGCCAGGATGGTTCTGCATCTTGATGTGGTGGTGTTTCCATGAATTTATCCACATGATAAAATGAATATAGATAAGACAGGATGAATGACAGTGTAAGATGCTATTTTCTATCTGAATGACAATTTTTAAAATCTCCTAACTCAACAAACTCTTTATAAAGCACAGGGCAGCTTTCTGAGGTAACTAAGTTATAACTTCTCTGAAATAAGCAATTGACCTAACACCTGCAGCTCCCAGATGGCTTCTTGTTCGTAAGTCTGAGATCTGAACCAGCACCCATACAGGCCAGCGTCCAAGGGGGTGACTTTCTGCAGTCTCAGGGAGACATGCCCTTTGGCAAGGAAGTCCTTGAAAAACACAGTTCTCCCTCTGTAGTCTGGCATCTTCATATGTTCCTGATCTTTCCCATCCCTGTATTGGTGGACTACAGCATAGAGCTTATTCTTGAAGAACCGCACTTCCATGGCCTCTGCATTTGTCTCCGGGGAGAGGAAGCAGGAGAACAGCACGTCCTCCCCCACTAAGGCCTGTGCAGGCCTGTCCAGCCCAATCACCTGCCACTGACCTGTGGGAGGAAGCACAACAGATTAATTGAGTAAAACTCAACCACTCAACTATTCAACTCAGGTAGGGGCGTGTAATCTTGCATCTGTGTATCCCCTTACACTTGACAAAACATGCCCCCATCAGTTATCCCAGTCCTGACTGACTCTTGTGGGCTCATTTATGGCCTGTGTGTGCATGTGTGAGTGTGGTTTGTGCACGTGCATCAGACGCAAAGTTGGTCCCCTACTTGTGGCTTCCCAAACCAATGAATTTAAAAATTGTATCACCGATCATTTCTTCCTTTATATGTTTTATAAATCTTTTTGAAGTGTATTTATTTATGCATCTACAAAGTATTATTTCATGAAATATGACTTTGCACCATGATCTCTGTCCAGCTGCTAACCTGGCAAAGCAGACACTGAGGCCCTATCTCTCCCCTCCCCGCCCCTCTTGGGGCCTGGCCAATGTCTTTCTGCTTAGTGTTTTCTCTTTGATTTTGGAACCTGCTCAGTGGGTTTCAGGGAAGGGCAGCCAAAAAATACAAAGATTTTAACAACCAGGAGAGCACATCTTAACCAGTGGGGAAAGGAGGTAGTAGATGTCGGGATGATTCTGAGCCCCTTCTGCGTGGTTCCTCAGACAGCCCTAATGGGACTGAGTCCCTGCTTCCGCAGCACTGACCTGCTTGTTAGAACCTCTCTTTTTGCTTTCCTCCTCCTGGCTTTGCTTTCCCCCCTCCCTCACCTGACACACCTGGCATTAGCCCCTGACCTCCCTTTCCTAGAGGATTTAGCCTCCTCTCTGTGGGAGGACAGAATCCTGACTTCAGTGGCTGCCAGGACCAGGCACAGCCTAATGGCATTTACATTGAACAACCGTTCAACCTTCTACTTTTCTGACTTTACTGAGCCCCTACTCCATCACCCCACCTCTATTCTTCCTTTAAAAAGTCCAGTAACTTTAGCACAAATCGAACTATGATTTAGCTCATGCTAGACTGTATTCCCTATTTCTCTCTCTTTTTTTTTTTTGAGACAGAGCCTCAAGCTGTCCCCCTGGGTAGAGTGCCATGGCATCACAGCACAGCAGCCTCCAACTCCTGGCCTCAAGTGATTCTCCTGCCTCCACCCCCCAAGTAGCTGGGACCACAGGCGCCTGCCACAATGCCCAGCTACTTTTTGGTTGCAGCTGTCATTGTTGTTTGGCGGGCCCGAGCTGGATTCAAACCTGCCACCTTAGGTGTATGTGGCTGGCGCCTTAGCTACTTGAGGAACAGGCGCTGAGCCTATATTCCCTATTTCAATAGCAATATCCAGCTCTGTTAATCTTTGAAACTTCCCCTGGGGACCAGCAAGAAAAAAAAACAGCTATAGTGGAGCAATTACCATGTGTCAGCGGAGCTCTGTGCCACATGTTTTATATACAAGGTCATACAGTTGTCACTACACCCTGTCAGGAATATGATACCATCTCCATGTCATGACTAGCAAACTGACACCTAGAGAAGTTATGAGAGCGAAGCTCACAAGCAGAGAAAATCAGATATTTTTTTAAAAATAGTTTTCTTCTGATTTCATTTCTATATGTCTGTTTCTTCTCCCCAGACAGAAAGCAGACAAAGAAGTTGATCAGGAAATGATGAGAATTACTTTACATGAGAGGCTGTCTTATGTGTTATGCACAGGGACTCTGAAGGGACAACAGGGAGCATGTTTTGAAGCCCTCATTCTCTTTTCATAGCTCTGTTTAGCAAAACAGACACAGTTAGAAGGTGGAAGAAAGAAACCTGCACACACAGGCAGTGACCACAGCTGACTGAACCTTTAACAGCCAGACACTCACTGCCCAGAGACCAGGGTTATACTCCCACCTCCAGCTACTTCTGTGAATTTTATTCAATTACTCTATATCCTAAGAGTAATTCAGCGATTCAGCTTTGTTCTGAAGGTATGGCAGAGAAATAAAGGTGGATTTTTGCCCAGAATGTTCCATATTCCAATGTATTTCTCACTTAAAGATGCATACACCTTCCCCTCCCCACAGATCGCATACCCCAGGTGTTTCCAAGTCAGCATTCCACAGATGAACCCATTATCTCTTCTCTCAAGTGTTCTGAATAGTGTCTCCTTCCAGCCAGGCACCCAAGTCAGAAATCCAAATGTCCCACTAAAGACGCCCCACATCTAAACACTCACAAGCTATCTGGAGCAAACATTTAATTATTTACCCTGACACTCTTGGTATACACCCTCTCCACTGCTTTGGCCTCTCTTTAGCCACCAGCTACTATCCCTGGAATGTTCCAAAGTTTCAATAGTGCCTGAGTCCTTCACATTGCCCTGTACCTCCTACATCCCTGACATCAGTAATTGCCAGGAAAGAGCTAAGAGAAGCTAGGGGAATGCAGAAAAATAAGATATTCCTAGGTCTCAACTATAACTTGAACTTTACCTAACAAACACAAACAATGTAACCTAATCATTTGTACCCTCATATTAATCTACAATGAATTAAATAAATAAATACATACATAAAAGATATCCACATCCCATTGTGTTGCAGTCATTGTAACTAAAGAATCCAAACTATTACTCAAAGAGAAAGGGACAGAGAACACTTCCAGCCTGCACAGCTTACCTGACACCAGCCGGAGAAGACTGAGGACCAAAGCAAGCATGAGGGCCATTGATTGTCCTGTAGATCAAGCTCATGCCCTGGAGACATACAACAACATGGAAGCATGAACAGATTAGAGAGAAGAGGAGATTTGGCCAGTAGCCCAGGTGCAGAAGCTATGGGCAGGTGCTGCATAAGCTTCTGCTGAACTGTGCTGCTTTTAGTCTCCCTCCCCTTGACATGGCTATACAGCTATGGGGTTCTGGACTTTGAATCACTGCATCAATTAGCAGGCCATAAATGTCTATTGCAGAGCAGGGAAATAAAGATAGAAAGAAGGTGGGGTACACTAGGAGGGGACCTGGCCCTTTGGCAAGACTATCACTGGTGACTGGCATGGGGACTGTCAGATGTCAAGATATTTTAAGGTCCAGTCTGGCAGGCAGAGCTGCTTGGTGGGCGAGTATGTGGTTCCTGAAAGAGAGCTTTCTGCAGCACAATGAAGTGGGGTCACTCTGTAAGGTGTGACCAAGAGCAGCTAAGACCAACACTTCCTGGGACACTTAGAAGAAATCATGCCACCCTTATTTGAGTTCAAGGCCAGGACTTTGATCACAAGGCCAAATATTGGAGAACTTGCTTAAGCAAGATAGTGCCTTGAGCTTCAATAATCTAAGAAACTGGAAACAGTACTAGGGCAGTGCTTTTGGCAGGGGTGAAGGTAAAGACTATTCATTCATTACTAGATATGAGGGGCCATGGTGCCCTAATTAGAGTATTCAGTCTTTCCAAACACATGGAAACTTACAATGAGACTGTTTACTAGACCAGAAAGCAAGTTTCCACACATACCAAAAATTCACCATCACAAAGAACATATTCTCTAACTATAATGTAACTAAGGTAAAAAGCAATTTAAAAACTTAGGACACTATACACCCTTAAGAAGTCACTGATAACACAATTTTTCATAGCCCATGAGCCCAAAAAAGAAATTGTAATAAATGTTAAAATGTATTTGGAATAAAACAATAATGAAAATGCCACATTTAAGCTAAATCTAAAACACAACATCAATTTCTAGCAAGATTGTAGGGTGGGAGGAGGAGCCAAGATGGCTGACAGGAGCCAGCTTTCAATAGAAGCTCCCATCCAGAGGGAGAAATAATGGCCAGAACCAACCAAGAAAGCTGAAGGGCGGGAGCTGAGCTGAGAGAGAAGAGTGATAAGTTCACATCATTCCTGCTGAGGCAAGCTAGGACTCCAAGGAAGCAAATATCAGGTACAAAACCCATCCCAACAAGGACAAGAGTCCATCCCCTCCCCCTCCAAAGAGAGTGGCTCACTGAGGGCTCTCTACAAGTCAGCTGTGAACAGAAGATCTCTTGTTTCACCCCACAGGAGAGAGTGGCTGAAGGCCAGGACTCCTTCTCCAGAGAGATCCCACTGCAAGTCAGGACAGTCTCTTACCCAGAAGAAAAGTTGAACAAGTATTTTCCTTGCCTTCCTGAACTTCTAGTCCACCCTTCCCTCTGTCCTGACTGCCTGGAAGCCTACTCCCTGCAAAACCTGGAGTGTCTGGTGGTTTCTCACTAGAGCTGGACATCTCATGGGCTGCAAAGCAGCTACACTGCAACTGTAACTCTAGTAGAAGCAGAGAATAACAAGAGGAGGGGGACTTGCCCCTGGCTGCCAAAGAAAGTACATAGTGTGGGGACCACAGCTGTGGCACCTCCAACAGGCAGCGGCCCCACCTCTGACAGGGGACAACTATACCTCTGAACTACCCTGGTTGCACACTAACACACTTAGACTGCGCACCACCTGCAGCAGTGACACCTCCAACCCTCTGTGGCTGCACCTCCCACTCATCAGGAAGGCACTTCCCACCTGTGGTGGCTGCACCTCCCATTGGCAGCGGCCACACATCTGACCCACTGTAGTGGCACCCCTGACTGTGGTGGCAGCACCACGGACACTTGGGGGCAGCACACTCCCACTGGGGGTCAAATTTGGGTGAGATACCTGCGCAATTCTGTGGACCACTAGAGGGAGCCAGACCTTGACCTGTAGGGGTTCCAAAGGAGGAGTGTGGCCAGGGCAGAGGTATGGTCTCTGAGGGAAAGAATCACACCCTGCCACAGTAACCCTGGCTCAGAACAGACACAGATGGAACACTCTCCAGTTCCCATTGAGCACCTGAGCTAGTCAGGCTTTAGGTCCTCCTACTGGCTAGTGGCACAGTGCAGTGGCCTGGCTGAGGAGGCATTGACTCCCCTTTGACTCTGGCAAGCAAAAATCCCTGGTGCATTTGCTCATTGGAAGGAACTGGACCACAGCCCCAGGGTTATCATTGACTAGGCATGATGGAGGCAAGGTGGGGAAGGAGGCACAAGCCACCCTGGACTAACCCTTTTGCTGAGTTGACCTTTATGACTCCATGAAGCACCTGAGAGAATCACACATGTGCTGCCAGTGGACCCCTGATGTCTAGTTGCTGGAGACTTTTTGAATTCTCCCACTTGATCTACACTTGTGCTGACTGGGATAATTGGTTTGGAACTCTTGACCTGGGCTAATCACTCCAAGGTTGTATGCTGGCTGTGTTACAGTGGGAGTATCTGATTCTTCTCTTCCAGTTGTTGCCCTGTAGGGGGGTAGGGTGTCTCAGTTGCTTGTATTTCTCCACAGCTGAGATTTCAGCCCATTCATAAGGATAGGATAGAGAAGGTACAAGTCAGATTTATTAAGTATAGAGAATAAAAGTTTTAACACTTTTATTAATACTTACTAATAATTTAAGTAACTTAACACTTACTAATAATTAAGTAAATGAGGTGAGGGATATATTAGCCAGTACAATGTAAGCATTCCAAATTGTATATGAAATCAGCACATTGTACCTCTGAAATGCATTAATGTCTACATGATCTACCTCTTTATGATTTAGTTAAGAAAGGATAGGATAGAGACTAGCTTGTTGTAAGACAGAGCCACCTAGCCCCATTACACCAAGCAGGTCCACAGAGTCCCAGGCTGCAGCATTCAATGGGACCTTTGTAAAGCTATAAGGGAAAAGCCACAGTCACCAGTCCCAGCTGTTTGGGAAAGTGCTGGTTAATTACAACTCTAGGAGCCCTTAATCCAATTTTACCTTACCAGCTTCTCTAGTGACATGGTGAATAATAAGCATGAGGTGGAATCAATGGAAAATCTCTGGCAACATGAATAACCAGAGTAGATCAACTCCCCCAAAGAATGACAAAGGAGACACAACAGAAGATGCCATTCATAAACAAATGACTGAGATGTCAGAAATCAGGATTAGAATTTGGATGGCAAATAAGATTAATAGAATGGAAGTAAAGTTGGAATTAGAAATTCAAAGAGTAATTCAAAAGTTGTCTCAAGAATTCAATGAATTCAAAGACAAAATATCCAAGTATTTTGACACACTGAGGCCAGAAATTGCAGCCTTCAAAGATCTGAAAAAATATAATAGAATCTCTCAGTAACAGGAGCAGGAAGAAGAAAGTATCTCTGACATTGAAGACAAAGCTCTTGAATACTCCCAAATACTCAAAGAGGCGGAGAAGTGGAGACCAAAAATGGGTCATTCCCTGAGAGAATTGTGGAACTACTCCAAAAGAGCAAACATTCACCTTATAGGAATTCCTTGAGGAGAATAGGATGATCCGAAAGGCACAGATGCTGTACTCCAAGATAAAATAAAGGAGAACTTCCCAAGTATGGCAAAAGATACACAAATTTAAATAGCAGACAGTTTCAGAACCTCAGCACAATTCTCCAAATAAGGCATCTCCTAGACACATGTAATTAACTATACCAAAATTAACATGAAGGAGAAAATTCTGCAAGCAGCCAGACTTAAGAAAATGATAACCTACAAGAGGAAAAATATTAGAATGACTGCAGATCTCTCCGCTAAAACTTTTCAAGCCAGTAGAGGGCGGTCATCGACCTTCAGCCTCCTAACACAAAACAACTTTCAGCCCAGGATCCTGTATCCAGCTAAACTGAGTTTCATTTGGGGTGGAGAAATTAAATACTTTAATGAAATACACATGTTGAAGAAATTTGCCACAACGAAACCGGCTCTCCAAGATATTCTCAGACCCATCCTCCACAATGATCAGCACAATGCTCTACCACCAAAGGCAGTCCTAAGAGGGAAATTTATAGCATGGCAAGCCTTCCCCAAGGGAACAGAAAGAGAGGAAGTCAACAATTTAATGGGACATCTCAAGCAACTGAAAAATGAAGAACATTCCAACCCCAAACTCAGTAGAAGAAAAGAAATAACCAAAATTAGAGCAGGATTAAATGAAATTGAAAACAAAAGAATCATTCAACAGATCAACAAATAAAAAAGTTGGGGTTTTTATGAAAAGATTAACAAAATATATAAACCTCTGGCTGGCCTAACCAGAAACAAAAAAGTATAACCCCTAATATTATCAATCAGAAATGACAAAGGAGAAATAACAACAGACACCTCAGAAATTAAAGAAATATTTAATGGATACTATAAAAATTCTATTATCAGAAATATGAAAATCTGAAGGAAACAGACCAATACTTGGAAGCACATCACCTTCCTAGACTAGGATGACCAGATTTTAACATCTGTAAGGTGGGACAACATGGCTGGGGGGTGGAGCAGGGGCGGAGCAGGGGCACGGGGCAGACAGGGCCTGACAACAATGCAAACTTTGATAAGCAGTTCTTGATAATCACTTCTCGCAATTATTTATTACAGTTTAACATTATAAAATTAACAAAAATAATATAAAACTCATATTCTGGCGAAATAGCCATATGGTGGCCGAAAACCGTATATTCCCTTCTTGTTCTCCAGCCCATTCATGCATTCTTTCCAAAAATTGGGACTTTTTTAAAATGCCACAGGACGTGGGACAAATGGCTGAAAAACGGGACTGTCCTGCCAAAATCAGGATGTCTGGTCACCCTATCCTAGACTCAGCCAGAAAGAATTGGAAATGTTGACTAGACCTATACCAAGTACTGAAATACCATCAACTGTACGAA